GGGGAGAGCTCCCGCAGCCTCTCTGGGGCCTCCCGCCTCCGCCTGCCCGCAGCACAGCCTCACCAGGGAGGCTCCCCGAGCAGCCCTGGGTGACCCCGAGGCCAGGCTCAGCTCAGTGACAGGCCTGGAAGGAACCCAAACCTGCCTCCACACACGTTTTAAAAACAAGGGGAGTGCGTAACACGTACCAGACGTTCCCTGTCCACCAGGCACTGCTCCAAGCCCTCACCCATCACTCACCCAAACCCCAAGGCCCCTGAGGGGCAGGGACTACCCTCACCCTCTGCGAAGTTCAGGAGACAGGCACAGAGGTAAAGGAACCTGCCCGAGGGTACAGAGCTGTGGGGGGTGAGCACGGAGCCCATGGCAGGTAAGGCAGGGCTGAGGACCAAGCAGAGGGAGTGACACCACCTGCCAAACAGAGCTTCTCACCCCCACCCCAGTCCTGCCCTCACCCTGCCCGAGGCTGGTTCCTCACGCTCTCCTGCCACATCCCAGCCTTGCTCTCAGCCGTCCCTCTTCCTACCACCACCTGTCCTGGCTGAGCCAGAAAGCGCTTGCATCCTTAGCAAGTTGGGAGAGATTTGCAAGCACCCGTAAGTCCAGGCATTGTCCATCTCCTCTCGCTCAGAATGTGCCCTTTCGGTGACAGTGGCCGGTGCATGGTGGAGCCCAAGCCCCTTTGCCACTTTCTCACGCGTCCCTCAAGCCCAGGCCCTGCCAGGCCCTCACCATGCCCCCTGCACGCAGGTACCAGCTGAAGCTCTTTGCCCGCATGTGCCTGGACCGGCAGTACCTGGCCATCCACGAGATCTCCCAGCAGCTGGGCGTCGACCTGATCTTCCTGTGCATGGCCGACGAGATGCTGCCCTTTGACCTGCGCGCCTCCTTCTGCCACCTGATGCTGCACGTGCACGTGGACCGCGACCCCCAGGAGCTGGTCACGCCTGTCAAGTTTGCCCGCCTCTGGACCGAGATCCCCACGGCCATCACCATCAAGGAGTGAGAGGGGTGGGGCCGGGCGGGCCGGGCATGGCGGGGTCGGCGGACCTCAGGGACCCTCAGCCTCACTGCCCCCACCCCCAGCTATGACTCCAACCTCAACGCCGCCCGAGATGACAAGAAGAACAAGTTCGCCAGCACCATGGAGTTCGTGGAGGACTACCTCAACAACGTGGTCGGCGAGGCCGTGCCCTTCGCCAACGAGGACAAGAACAAGCTCACCTTCGAGGTGGGCGGGACTCCCGCTTGCTGGGCACCGGGCTCAATGCGCCAGGGCTGGGCGGTGGGTCCCTGCCTCACTTCCCTCAGCAGCCCAGCAGGCAGGGGCACAGATGGCTGAGCCTCCCTGGGAGAGAGGCTTCTGCTGACCTGGGGGGGCTGCTGCCCCCAGGCCCCTCCCCTCATCAGCCTGGGCTGGTCACAGGCCATGGCCCGGAGCCACCCCCGCTGCCTGCATTTCTGCCCTGTCTCCCCCACAGTAGCCTCCTTTGCAGGCCTCTCTCCTCAGTAACCCACTGGGGCCGGGCGGCTCTCCTCTGGGACCCTTGGTTCCACCTCCATGCAGCCCCACAGCCGCAGAGGAACCTGACCCCATTTCACCACTGGAGCTCTCTTCCCCGAGAGCTGTCCCGCCTGTCCCCAGGCC